CTTCTATTAAATACTGATAAGCAATGTTTACGAAGTTGCTGAATGTAGCACCGAAAATGACATGTATTTGACATCAAACAAAATTGGAGTATTGCATTTGGAAAAGCGTGTGCATTTAGATTTTTTGTACGTTCCTCTCTACTATACATATATCTGTTTGACTAATTCATGATTGTTTGATACTGCTCCTTCTGCTTTTATAAGATAAAGTAAAAAATATAAAGAATCGTTTCTCAACTTTGGGTGACATTCCTGGTACGATGAAAAGAGGTTTAGGTAAAAACATTCCGCCTGAGCGGTTACGTTTGTTGGAAGTGCCAGTTTTCATATGATAGCTTTACGTAAGACTTGACCTGAGAAGAGATACGGGTGGGAACCACAGAAGTTGCAGCCGTAACTAGAACACCTAAAACATACAAGATATTGCCCTGTGCAGCATAAAACCAGTTTGCGGAAACACTGCAAGTGGTAGTAGGGTAGATTTGTATTGTAAAAAAAATGCTTCATAAAAAACAGTTGGACGAAGCAGATAAAGAAATGGTTAAAATAAGTACTTTAAATAGACGCCAAGGGAAGTAAACGGTTGAAACTGAAATTCTGTACCTGATTAAAATGTGAAGTGTGAGCCTGGTAGTACTTGCCTTACGTGGTGGTTTGAGAGGTTACAGGAAGGGTCTGAAAAATCCATTAGTATAGGCAAATATAAAAAGCGTTACAATAAGAAATATGCATAAGAAACAATATGAATAAAGATTCCTTTAGTAGAAATGTATGGAAGTGTTCAACAGGGTTCAAACTGGGATCATATGAAAGTGTCAAAAACCGTTAGTACGGCTGCCAATGACGGAGTCTGGATTATTCATTATGACTGAACTTGGTTACTTTACATGCTTTGATAAACGGAACAGGGTAAATCAAAGCTGAGTCCAGAGTCCGGGTTTTTATAGCTAATAAGAACAAATGGTATCATGCGGTGGCAAGATCTTTTTCTCGTACCAGAGATGCCTAGCTTTTCATACATTCGTCACACAATCTCGTACACAGTGGCGTATATACAACAGCAGTTCGGGTAGAGTCTAGCATATCACAAATTTGTAGTCACTGAAGAGTGGGGGGTGGGGGGAATTCAGTGTGTTATAATGAAAATAAAGGATAAGCTATAAACATAGCCTATAAGTCGCCAATATAAACTACTATTTCGCGCGGTCTGCTATTCTGTAGTATGATGAATTACGAAGTATAAAATGGTAGTATTTAGAGCTGATATGATCCAGTGATATCAACACTCAATGAAGATGTATTTTTTCAGGTAGAGAAAGGCAATTAAATAGCCTGTATTGATATCGTCTTAGCCAAATCAGTATTGCAGTATTACAGAATAGCAGCACGGTCATCGCATTGAGAGTCTTCATGAGTATCGATCACGGTAGAGTGGCAGTTGATAATCTAGTAATATCTCAAAATTTTCCATATCGGCACGGGATACATAATTCTGACGAATCTCTCACCGCCAGGTAGACAGAGCCGAATTTTGTTTTGGTTTTTTGTACGCTACAGATTCATGTTGTACTTGTTAACAGCTCTTTTATCATTTCATACAAAAAACAAAACGCCACAAACAAGTCTACTACTAGATTTATAACTCATCCATTATTGCCAACGGTGAAGACTAACACAAAAATGTCACTTGCTGCCGTCAAATCGTGATGGATACTCGTGAAGTAGGGTATATTGACTAACCGGACGAACTCAACTGAAAAAGCTAATAATAGACATTGGGTAGGGATGTAGACGACATGTCGATGTTCCTGAAACATCAATGCTCACCATTGCTGGTCATAGTTACATGCATTATTATACTGTTCCATATATCATTTTTAGAATCTTGTTCAAAGGAGTACGAGATTTGTATTAAGCTTGTATCTCGCACCTAAGACTTCGTATATGTACGAGACTTCTCCCACGTCTGGCAACCCTGGGCAGTGGCCAGCAAGAGCAGCTGTTCAAGCCACAGTCCAGTCTAAGCCAATAAAGTTGCTGCTGGACGGCCGTCGGGTGTTCGAACTCTGAAGTTGCTCTAATCATGCAGATAACTCAAAATAGTTTTATTGATCCGCAGCTTAGAGAAACTAGCTGGCGATTCCAAGTCTACCTTATCTGGATGGGTTGTTGATAATTGACGTTTTCTACTGATACACTATCCGAGTTATTCTTTATGATACCGCCGCATTTCGTACTCATATGACAGACAGAAGAGGTTTTCCGCAAGTGGATCAGCTGAGAAGTGGTATCGCGAAACCTTCCCAACTTCTTTGTAGGAATCCAGTATTACAGATAAGAGGAAGTGAACTCTCCATTGTCCGCCCCCAGAAAGATAAAAAACACTCTGGTACAAGTATTGGAAGATACTTCTGGTGCTGATTCCTTAGAATTGTTAGTATTTTGTTGGGGCTAACTGCACATTTGGTTATTGGTACCTAGTAAATTAGTTACATTTCCATTACTTATCGGATTTGCGGTAGCATACGATAATTTTCTTGCAATCCAAAATTTTCTTCAGGTAGTTGTACAAATTATTCGGAGGTTCAAACATTAGATGCCTCTCTGCTCGATTCAACTACTAAAATAATAGGAATAATTTATAGGAACCTTCTAGCTGAGAGTCTGCAATGTCTGCGGCGGTTGCTCCGTAGTGAGACAATGGGGCCGCGGTTTATCAAAAGGCACAAAAGCCAGATTGTGGCCGTTTGACAGGCCGGTGTCACCCGCCTAGACGGTCGAAACGCGCGGCCCAGACCAGAAGACCAGACCGGTCTACACTTATCTCCGAATCTAATGCTCTGTCCGCTCAGCAGCTCTGCATTTCTGCTGGACCTCGCACTAGATACATGTTTTATAGCCCGCACGGCTGTCTCTTGTTTTTTCAGCTTTTCGGCTGGATATTGTTCTCCTATCAGTGTCATCGCATGGTGCCTTACGTATACCGTTCCCTTCTGAAGAAGAGCTGAGTTGTGGGACTTTCAACGAATTTCCGGTCATTGAATTGAAACAAGCTAATGGAAAATTTATTATATTAGGCTTTAAAACAATAACTAAAAATTATTGCCCTGCAAAACAACACTCCAGTATGTACAAAGAAGGTGGAATTTCAAGATAACAAAACAATTTCCTTAAGCGCTTACTCATAGTCATGTAGACAGAAAGGCAGTGTGAATACACGTATAAATTCTACATGAGTAAATTATGAAGAAACAGTACGGGGAAAGGTCTCTTCTGGGGGATTGCTCAAAATGGTTGTTACCATCGGAACAAGGATGCCTTTTTCTAGCCAAGTTGCGGCTAAAATGAGTCTTAGTCATTAGAAGCGTCAAACAGAACTATATTCATAACCACCGGACAGGGAAGAAGTCACTATCAGTCTTCAGTCTGAATACCCGCTTGCTGTTATCTGTTGATTGGATTTACCTTGCTGGAAAAAAAGAGACACGCACATTAATATTGGCATTAATATTGACAATAAGAAAAACCTAAGAACTAGAGCTGCCATATTTAGAACGGAAAGGTCATCACTCATAATATGTAAAAAGCTCGGAAAATCCTCCATGCAATACTGTCACTAAATGAGGACTGGATCTCGAGTTATTTCAGAATATATCATTTTTAATGCAACTGCGCGGACGATAATAAAAATAAAAGCTCGGAAAATCCTCCATGCAATACTGTCACTAAGTGAGGACTGGATCTCGAGTTATTTCAGAATATATCATTTTTAATGTAACTGCGCGGACGATACTGAGTCAATCTACTTGACTGTGTTTTTATTTTCTGTACTCGATGACGGAGGCTTGAAGGCTAATCCAAATGTGTCAACAATAGTTATGATTCCTTTGCAAAAGTGTTTTAAGCTAATAACTACAAAACTACATCAATAAATGAAGTTGGGAACAAAATATAGCCACCTCAATTAGTTGGGGGGACTAAACTAATCTACATGACGCAATCTCTAGGAGATCGCCAAAGATGCATAAGTAGCCTTCGTCGTTAGACTAATAAACTGCTTAATAACCATTAAGATTTACACTTTTCCAACCTGCCAAGTATGAAATGATTCAGTTACGTTTCTAATTACGATAGTCATTATCAGCGCAAAAGCTTGTGATAAACGGTAATCCAAAACTACAGTAATAAGCGCTATACATTTCATCTAGCTATAGTTGTAGTCATCGTACTTGGCGGTTATGTTATCAACGCCTTATGAAATAAGTAAACAGATCGAGTCTCCGTACCACGGGCGCAGACTAAGCTTCAGCGCCAGGGGCGGCTGGCCCTTAAGTTCTGCAGAGCTGCAGAACTGCCAAAAATTTTGTCTTAACAGAAAAAAGCAGTAGCAATTTGATCATTATTTATTTTCCATGTTATCACACAAATAGAAACAATACCGGCAACGCTGCCCCCGCAAGACACGGAATCGAATTTTGTACTGAGAAAGCATTATAATCGACCAATTGTGTACTTGTCATTTTCGTCGCGACCGCAGCGTAACATTATCCATGGGCCTCTTGAAAAGGATATGTGCACTACTTCGACACAAGCTGCACGCGCTTGCTTTTGTCTCTCTCTACAAAATCAAATGCGCCATTTAAGCATAAGCATGTGCTGCAAGTTATACAGATCCGTACAGATCTAATGCGAAGTACGATATCTGATTGGTCGGTCGCTGCTCGGTCCTCGGCGGTATTGGCATATTGGTCTTGTCGCGTGACGTGGGTTAATATTTGAATGCGAAATTTTTTTTATTTAAGTATTTTGGGTCTTACGTTGAGTGACTAATGACTCTTGACTGAGTTGTGGCTGTGTAGAAGGGTAGTGCAAGACAATGGATGTGGTTTACAGACTTATCAGCGTAAAACGATTCTGGAAATACACATTTGAAAAAAAAATTGATCTGAAAGTGTTATATTTATAGAAACACAGGGCGTTAGTCGGGGCAAGGGCTATACGCGGCATTTCAGCAGTGAGATTTACACCAGAAATGACTGGATTTGTAGGTGCAACAGGAAGAATGCCCTTTTCTGCTTTCCTTGCATACTTTTCGGCGGTTACAAAGCTTGGACGGAGGTATGCGTTACAGATTTAGTGCACCTGTGTGAAAAAATTAAGAAGCATGAAAACTCTAAAACACATCTTCATAATTCGATGGAATTGGCTTTATTGGGGACTGTTAACATCAGAGCTCAGTTAGATTCAGCATATTGGAGAAATATACAACAGCATAATGATACCGTTATAAAAAACAGGTACGTTCTATCAAAAATATCGACTGTATAAAATTTTGTGGGGCATTTGAATTGGCGCTACGGGGCCATGACGAAACCGGGAGCTCCCTAAACCCGGGGATATTTCGTGGACTGATTAATTTTTCATAATAAATGAAGCCAAAAGTATTTGCACTGAACCCCAGGGCAACAAACGGAGACGACGTAATAATAGCAGTCACGATCACCGAGTTGCCGCATTAGAAATTTGCGACAATATAGTGAATTCTGCAAATGACAGATTTCACCTCAAAGATCATTTGGTAGCCGCATCCCTTTTTTTACCCGAACACTTTGGAGAATACTGTGGTAAGTTTCCTGATGGCAAGTTGGAAACTACCGGCTTGGCTTAACCGGAATTAGAAAAAAGTCGTTTAAAGACAGAGTTGTCTGTTATTTATGCACGGAATGATTACCGAGATTTACATGGAACTCTGTCTCTTTTGAAATTTTTGATACAAAATAGTTTGGAGGAAACACTAAAAGAAACAAAAAAGCAATTCAAAATTATTGTTACAACTCCTATGTCAACATCAGAGGCTGAGCGAAATTTCTCAACATTGAAAAGAATCAAGTTCTTTCTTCGAAATAGGTACTATATCTCAGGATCGCCTTACAGCGTTGTCGATGCTGTCCATTGAAAAGGAATTGATAACAGGGCGACTAAAATTACGTAACGACAAAGTTTCCAGACGAAGACATACAACAAAAAACGTATGTCTTTGAGGTTACCGAACAAACATTCACCCACATTGTGTGTATGGGAGATGAAGATATATATGATACCGGTGATCTTACTTTGACACGCCCAGAACGGTGACTACAACTATACTTATTTGTAAAACTTAGGGGCATATTGTATACAATAGTTTCGCCAAGTAAGAACACCAATAGTCTTGGCTCTTAAGCACATGTCAAAATTATGTCAAAAGTGGCTGAAATATAATGCCCCACACAACTAGAGACCTGTTAGCTTTTTTCTTCATATCCTTCAAAACGTACGTTTTTTATAAGGTACTCCATCAATTACTGCCGGACGTTGGATTCCTGTTACTGGCAGTAGTTGGAACGGGTTCATTTCCAAAACGCTGATACAGCATTTAAGATAAGAGAAAGTGGCTGCCGGGATACTTTACAACTCATCTTCCCGTTTATAGTTTGTTCCTCTTCGTCGGTATCTGCATTTCCTTTATAACCAAAAATCGCCCTAACACAACCTTGATGAGAGAATAAGAAGGCTACTTCCTCCATCAAACCAACTGGCAGCCAACCGGCCGGCTATCTGGGTGCACACCAAGCGTCGCCGTGTTTACTAAAAGCGTGAATGAAATAAAAATCCACTTCCTGGGTGGGTTGAAAAAGTAGCAACAAAGAGCGTACGTGCGTTCCGGGTGTACCCAGAGATTCTCCATTATATGTGGAGATGGTGACGTCTGATACCGGCCTGTTTTGTACTGACTGTGACGCATATGCCCACAGACTTATGTGCACTAGACGTCATAACGCTTATCTCTTCTGGTGACTACAAAATTTTAAAATTGCAAAGAGGTCAAGAAGAATGGGCACATTGAGAAACTATATCTACCGCGTTAGGTTCTGCACTCGCCCATTAGCATGCATATGTTGTATGAAGTTCATAATTGGTAACGTCTTTTTAGGCACCTAGTGACTTTCAGGCTTCAGTATTAACTTTTAGTTTCATTATCTTAGCAAAGACATACGGTACTTTCTAAAAAGCCTCTATTTCTTATTCTTTGGACGGGTTAAGTTAGCAAACTTGGGCTGATAGAATTAATCTGTGGATACTGTATTTCATGTGTTGCAAATTTCAAGATGGCGGCAAATAGAAATGGGGGTGGTGTGATACCTGATTCCATAGCTCCTAAAGCGCACTCTTTAGCCCCAAGAAATATTATCCTCATATTTCGAAATGGCGAACTGGCCGGCTGTCAAATTTGGGTGCTTTTGTAAATTGAATCGCTAATAACAACCAATTATTGGATTGGCATGTTATATTAATATTTTTCTCCTGGCAGGACCTATCCGAATATGTAATAAGATATGGAATATTCAATTGAACAGATTAACGACCAGCGCTAAGATTTTGAAATTTGCTTCTGGATCAAGGTATTTTATTTCTCAAAATGGTTACTTTATATTCTAAGGTTACAAAGTACTATAAGGAGTGCTAAATGAGGTATCACACGATGCTTAAGTCAATTTGAAAAATAGTGCTCAATTGTTTATTCTCTGCGTCCCGCCGTCATAGCCAAGTAATTAAAAAACTAAATATGTGCGTAGGAGTTTTATAATAGAAAAGAAATAAATTGCAAATTACTCGAAAAGCAAACATTTCGGGGATAGATAACCCTGTATAAAGTTACGCTAATTTTTAATGTTTGATGCGGTAAACTTATAAAAATGAATGAATGAAAAGTCGCCTTCTGGCAATTTTTGACATTCAATTTTTATACCAATTTTTTTACCACCTTGTATAAATAATTATCAAAATATCATACAAAGTCTATTAAACTATATCCCTGTTTAACACAATCCACATTAAACACTAAGGTGTTCTACATAGGGGAAGTGAACAATTATTTTAAAGCCTGCAAACGTCATTTTTGACATAAAATTTGAAATATGTCGAAAACGGCTAGACTTGGGTATAGATTATACATGAAATATGATTAGAATTTTATGTAGAATCCGAATATTGAGTAATATCCAATTTAAAATAAGCAAGTAGGCATTAACATCCGGTATAACCGGAAGTGCCACCATCTTGAAAACATTTTAGCTGCCGTTGCCCAATCGACATTAGTATACTTCCAAATTTTCAAAAATATCATATGCCTACTTTTCGAGAAATCTATCAATAGACTTCCCGATGCGACACCCTGTATTTATGGGAAGTTTTTAGATTACTATTGTATGAACTTTCTGCTTTAAGCATATTCCTATTGTTTTTTGACTTGCTCTCTATAAGCATTTGACTTAGCGATGCAATTCAGCCCCAATGCAAAGATCATCCCTTTTCATCTCTTACAAATGAGACATGAACCACACATAGATTACGAACACCCAAGTAATCTGCGTGTCATCAAACTAATTCACTGTAAGAATTCCGTACATCTGATATAGTTTCAATTTGTTTGCGTCACTTCGACTAAAGGTAGATCGTTAGGTCCATGGTTTCCATGGAAATATAAGCTTCGATTTCTTCTGATGAAAGGGTATTGATCGTAAGGGAATATGTTCAGAATTGTATTACGCTTTTGGAAAAACAATCTTCAGTTAGCAGACAGTATCCTACATTTTGCTGTCAGGAAACAATCTATTGCTTTGAACGATCAGGAAGCTTTGTTTCTAGTTTCTTGGTATGTCTCTGGTAAGCAGTTGCCCGACATTTCCGTCTGTCCCTCCAGACACATGTGTTTCCATCTAAGCAAACAATGCGATTTACCTACCTGATAGGTAAGAGACGTTTTAGAGGTTTTTTAAGATCGTCGCGATACCACACAGCGTTGTATGCTTCGCACAATAGCTACAATTTCAATTGTTTCTGCGTTTAGGGTTATAGGCTTTTAATTTTCCTCTATGCGGTAGATGCATCGATAAATAATAAAACATGCCACCGGTTGAGAATTTATAGGCTAATGCCCAGTCACTGGCTTGTAAAAGAACATTGTCCATGAGATCATGGGGTTAACGATGATTTGACACCTGAGGCGATCTCTTCCACACGTTTGTCCTACCCGAGGGTTCACAAAATGTGGAACAGATCATTTTAATAGCTTAATAGTAAACGCTTTCAATGCATGTACTTGAATTATTTCCAAATTCCCCAAGTATTTATATTTACAAGAACCCAAGTTAAAACAAAATGTAAAGTGGATGAGAAATGGGAATTGTGAATTCTAGATAAATAATATTTTCTCAATAGCGGCGCCACCGTACTTCAAAATTTCTTAGTTTTCCAAAAGCTGATTTACCTAGACAATAATTATAATTACTCGAAACATATGAACTGTCAAACAGTTTTCTACCTTAACAATCAACAAAGATAAAAAAGCAAGTTTGAGAATGTTCTTCGGTATTGTTTTTTGCTCATATGACATCTACCACTAGAGCAATTCTTACTATCTACGAAGCCTTTGCGGCTGAGGAATATCAAACTTTCACGAAAATGTGAACTGTGTTTTTTGGATCACGGAGAATCAAGTATTCTGCCGAGATTAGAATGCTCCTCCAATCTAACATGACCTAACCGAACTTGAGGGGCGTTAGTATATCTAGTAAACGCGCTATAAGTCAAGTCAGTGAGTGGTTTATTAGTCAAGGCAATAACGAACAACGAAGACCTGGCGATTAGGATCAAAATCATTAAATCACCTTTACTGTATAAAGTGACCTTATCTACTGGATCGGTACTGCTAATAACCATTTGACATCCTAGGAATTCTACTTTTTACGTTAGGGTCGCGTTTTAGGTGTTGATTGAATAGCTATCAGCTTTGGTGTTACTTTATGGCAAGGATTATAGTAATTACAAGGTGTGAAAAGAACTTCGCAGGTTGAACCTGAATACCGTATCTTTAGATCACAGGCTAACTAGCCAAATATGAACCCTATTTAAGAAAATAATGTTCAGAAGAATTTTTGAAAGAAACTACATTTTTGAGAGTAAACCGCGCACAAAAATTTGCTGAATACTAAACGTTAAGCTTTGAAAAGTCTATTTTATTGTTCCAGTATTTTACCGTTTCTATTGTTCCTTTTCCTGTGTGCAAACTTTTGTACAGGGTTTGTCCGGAAAGTAATAGGACTCATTTTCTTCCGTCATGACTGTACTTCGGAGTGTGCGCGCACCGACTGGATTCGGTAGAGGGCGTTCCTAGCTAACGAATGAGCGGCTGGTCAGTTGTCTCCGAGCACTTGGAGAGTCAGGATAGGCAATTTCGCGCGACGTACTTCTGTGA